ATATATAATAAATATCAAATGAATGAGCAAAATAAAATATTTAAATTATTTCCATTTCATTTATGAACAACATTCATAAATATATATAGCCTATATAAAGAATGATTTTTTTAAAATAATTCACTTATCACCAATTCAAATTATTAAAAAAAATTGTTTAAAATTACACATTTAAATAATTTAATAATTTTAATGATTTAATTTTCTGATGATAAACAGTATCTACGGCAATGAAAAATATCTAAATCAAAAGATGATCCACTTGTTAAATTTTATATCATTAAGTACAGACTATTACATTAAAACAAATTTAAAATTTTTAATCATCTTACAACAAAATTCAAAATTATCTTGTATTTCCTACATAATTATTTATTATATCAATTTTATAAATAGCTATTTTACTGATGCAAAAACTTAAAATTTAAATACTGACCAAACTATAAAATTAGGAACAAAAAATACAATCGAATCTAAAAATGTAAAATTAACTTGAATTATAAATTTACTTTAATATACAAGAATTTAACAAAACAGTAACAGAGTTAAGATAATCATTCAATTATGTCATTTCAACTCACTTTTATAAAGTTAAAAATCAAAACATCTAAATATAGTTTTTATTTTTGATCATATTAAATATGATAAAAATACAGCAATATATAAAGTGGATGGATATACTGTATGTATGTATATATTACAAGTATAAAAAAATTATATAACATTTCTGCAAACTTGCTGTTTGAATTTGTAAAATTAAATGTAATTTCTAAGTCTTAAATCTGCTAATATAGCAATAGTGTTGGCAAAAATTTGTTTCTTGATTTGAAAGTTATAGACCCAAACACAGATCTGAGCACGAATGTATGTTATTTGATTTTTTAATAGGGATTGCTCTTGACAAAGAGAACACTAGTTACATTGGTATATGATATTACTTTGAATAAATAATATTGTCACCTCAACAAGTTTTATTTTTTGCATTGTCAATAGAAAAACTTAACATGTCATATAGTAGTGAATACTTAATTTTGATTTATCAAAATAAAAATCATATATATAATACATAAATACATAAAGAAAATAAAAGTGCACTTTTAGGATTCCAAAACAAATTTTTTTTTTTATTAGAAAATGCTTTCATTCTTACATCAGAACAGCTTCAGCTAACTTTTGAATACCAATATAGTCCATTATTCCACTATGTCAAATTCGACTTAGTTTCAATAAGTATAATGGAATTATAACATGATATTTTAAATCAGAATATAAAAAATGAGTTGTATTATTGTATATTAATGAATACATTCTGCATACTGTTTAATTTTTCCAAATAAAAGATTTACTTCAGGTTAAAATCATATGAAAATTTTTTATTTTTATATTAGAATATGCTCAAAATTTGTATTATTCAATTTATTTAGTCTCTCATTAAATATTCCTATTACTTCTTATTATATAAAAGCTTAATCTTTTATATATAATAAAAAATTTTAATCATCAGTTATCAAAGTGTTCTGTTTCAATTATTAACCTGAAGATGCTTTATCAAGTAAGCTGAAAAAAATTAATTAAAAAGTATTGGTGGAAATTTTAATTAAAAAGTATTGGTGGGAAGTTTTTCCAGTTTTGTTTTTTATATTTTATGCTCTACTAAATAATTGAAAAAGTATATGTAATATAATTGAAGCAAACTATTTTTGATAGTTTCATTATCTTTTAAAGTCATTTACTAATTAAAGTAAGTATAATTCTTTTTCATAATAATTTAAATGTTTTCAATTCAAGATTTTCAGAAACTTATCAATCAATAAATTTCTATCAAATAATTTATCAACCAAGCAACTGCCATATTTTAATTGAAATGTATAATGATGTCACATGTCAAATAATGCTTTACGGTGATTAGCCTAACATTTACAGCTGTAAAAATTCAAATTTTTTAAATTTTCTGCAACATGGTTGCATGTACATTAATAGGCATCACTGGATGAAAGTAAGATCATTTACATGAAGTGGAGTGGAGCATTTTACGCATTAGCAATGATTTTACATGACAGATGTTGACAGATTTATACTTCTTTCCAAGCTGCTAAAATGTTTGTTATGCACTTAATATTAAAGGACTTCCAATAATCTGTCACAAACAATAAATCAGATACTTGCACTGCCTCTCCAATATTTCTGAAGGTCATGAATAAGTAATATGCCTTAAAGATGGCAATGACATTTTGATCCAGTAGCTAAAAAAAGGATAGTGTTGGATGGCAAATAAATTCACCTTAACATCCAAGTTATCAGTATACAAATCTTCAAGATTTGTTGGATGCCCAGGAATTATCAAAAGACTAAAACAACTTTATTAGGCAACAATTAGGAAATGTGTACAAATAACTAATACACGTATCAACTGAATAAAAGTTAATGATGAAAAATACCAAGTGGTCAAGTGATTGCACTATATAGTGTTTGAACAAAGGAGGCAAGTTATTTGTTACATAAAATGTTGCTACCCTGGACAAAAACAAAGAGCACCAATAAGTACCTCTTCTTTTACTTACCACACAACTCAACTTCTAGCATAAAATGTATTCAAAGACAAAATGCTTTTGGCTTACCTTTGATGCTGGAAGTGATAAGCAAAATAAGTGGTTCTTATAAATAAGTTTGAGCTTCTGTATTGTTTACAATTAGAGCAGAGTAGGAAGCTGTTTCATTATAAAAAAATCTTTAAAAAGATTCCTCAAAGACAATACATACAAATGTGTCTTTATTCCAATCCAGTCATTTCAAATGCACTTTTGAGGAATTAACTAAAAGTTAATTCCTCAAAAGGATAATGATTAATTCATCCTGGCCATATTTTTATATCAAAAAGCTGTTTCATTCATGTTAGAAACCAAGTCAGGGATGCAAACACCATAAATTATTTTCTAGAATTCAGCTGTATATTTCTTTGCTGCAGTAATATCAGTACTAGTTGCTTCACTAGAAATTTCTGAATTTGTGTTCAACTTTTGAAGTGAATAAAGCAATCACTACTTGCCACAAATGACCACTCTACCTCTTCATTCATTTCATTGAACAAGGATCTTCTCTTGTCCATGATTATTTGTTTGAGTTACAGAAACGATCTTTTGATTCATATCAATTCACAACACTAATAATTCTTCCATATTTCCTATTATTTTATTCCTTGTATTTGTTTTTCATTTGCATTAACAATTCCTGATATAAATGCTTTTTTATCTTATCTGAATTGGTTAATGTTGAAGTTGTAGAAGAAAGTGCTGACCACGAACATTAATGCTTTACTCAAAATGACCTATTTGATTCTTCAAATCACTTCCATTTTTTTCCTCAAAAATAAGTAATTTTCTGCCTTTTTTTGGTTGAAGTAGAATTAATTCTATGTTTAGATTGTATTTAAACAATAAATAAAAAATGCCAATACATATTAGCAAAACTCTCTTTTCTAGCAATTTTTCACATTATTTTTCACAAGGGATTAAAATGTAATGAACTGTTTTATAAATATAAAACAAAATCATAGTTGCTAGACCATTAAAAATAGTTCTTAGTTTTTTTTCCTCCCACCAAAACATTTGTCAAATTTGTTAAAAATTGCAATATGGTGCAGCAGACATTGTGTTTATAATTTTGTCTTTGGTCATTTGTCATCTTTTTGATTTTTTGTTAATGCTTTTGAAATGTTTGTTAATGTAAATCTTTGTAAAAAAAGAAAATGTAAAATGAAGCCACACTGTTTTTAAATTTAAAAAGATAATATACACTACAACTGTTATATCTTACACAGTTCTGTACATAAAAATCAAATGCAATTTTAAAAGTATAATATTCAAAAACCCATAATGTGTTCCAAGCATATGATGATGATGATTAAGAATCATCAAAAACACTACGGTTAAATACATTTTAGTCTGAAAATTTTAAAGTTGTTTTATTGTTTGTTATTTAGCATTTATAACATCTTAAAACAGTTTTTGTTAAATAGTACTATATCTGTGATAACAATTTATGACTGGATACTAATGACAAATATATCAATGCTTTTCTGCTTCAGATTTTATATAAATTTATATTTTAACATACATAAATACTGGGTGTTCAGGACAAAAACTACCAATAAGAAAGTTTTATAAATAATTTCATAATACTTTTAATTATGGAATTACTTACAAAACTATTTGCAACTTGTGGTAAAATACAAAGAAACGCAACAAATTTTTTTTGGATATCAATAAATTTCCAAGCAATATGGGCACGTCTCTTGTAGAACAACAGATTCCAGGGGTATCCAATTCCTTGTTTTCAAGCATCTGCAAAATTAAGTAATCTCTCAAAGATTATCACGGATGAGTATACCATGGTCTTTGTTATCTCTAGTTCCCTACTGACATGACAGACAAACTTCACTGAAACACTTCACAAATTGTGTCAACTTCTGTGCAGGTTTCCTTACAGGTGAGACCATTTCAAATAGTGTTTTATACTACATTGCCATTATTTGACTTTGTTTGTTCTTGATATTTTTATTGGAATTCCCTTTGCAAGTAATTTGGAACTTAAAGTGTTGGTTAGTAAGCCAATAACAATACTTCACTTTCTGCTGCACAATGAATGTCATTCTGACTGTTGGCTGTGCAAAATGACAGCAGTGCCATCTTCTGAATTGAACCACAAAAACTTGAAAATGTTCTCTTTGCTTCACTGTGAACAAATGTTCTGCCATTGAATTATGCATAGATTTACAAACTTCTCATATTGGTAGTTTTTGCCCCATCCCATAAACAATTATTTTGATTATGCTGAGCTCTTAAAAATCTTGGAATGATTGCATCTCTGAAGTATTGGTAAAAAGTTTTAAAAAAAAATCAAATTTTAATTTCTATAAACTTTCTAGTGTTTAATTTAAAAGTAGCAGAAGGTTTCATTTTAATATAAAATATTAACTTTATAATTTTTCCTTTTGCATAATTGATATAAATTAATGATTTTAAATGCAAGTTTAACTTCATTATATATTAAAATTTAAAAAAATATTGACTGCATTACTTATGTAATACTAATATCATATTTATAATTTCAGAATTGTAAAAGAAAAAACAACGAACTTCAAAAAACTCTCTAATTATGAAGAATCTTTCAAATTATTATAATTTATATTTCTACTTAAAAAAAATAAAAATCTAAACATATACAGTCAATAATAGCTCTGTAATTTTATTAAATAAAATACTTTCCATAATGATAAAGCTAATACTTTACAATAATAAAAGAAAGCATTTTCAAATTTAATCTATCACATCTTTAAAAATGTTTAAAATAGCAATCATTATAATAGTGTTTTTATCTATGTACCATATTATAAATGAGCATAGAAACTAGGAACTTCATTATAAACTTTATAAAAATCTAAAAATTAAAAATTTACACTGTATATTTAAAGATTAAAATACTGTTTCATTAATAACTAAAAGTTAATATTTAATCAAAACTGCAATTCATAATAAAAAGATACTATCTTAGACTATAAAATAAATTCATGATAGAACAATTTGAGTTAGACGTAAATTTATAACTTAAAAACTCATTTTCACAAGTAATTCTCATTTAATTACACAATAAAAACAAATAATTGTTTAATAATTTAAATTACTGTATTTCACTGTCATTATTTTATATTATTATTATTAATCATTTTTAAGATTAAATAATTTTTATGGGTAAAAATAAAATTTTTTAAAATATTTTTTATATTTAAAAACAATGTCAAATTATAAAAATATTTATATTTGATTAAAAAAATTACACAAATATTAAATTTATAATGATATAAAAATTTAATATACAATTATTTATAAAAAATAATTAGCTATACACGTATACTTCACAAATATTAATGTTTAAATTATTTTTCATAAAATTTGATTAATTAAATTCAATATTTTAATTTATTATAATTTAATTAACTATAACTAAATTTTATACATTTAAAATTAATTCCAAATTGCTGTTGTATGATTTTAAGAAATGTTTATCTAATTAAAACTTCTAATGCTAGCTACACTTTTTTTTTTTAATTATATAAATCAAAGAGGTAAAATGTTTTGAAACATTACCATAAAAAGCTCAAAAATATCTAAAATCATGTATGTTTATTTACATTATAAAGCAATTTCATTCAAATTGTTAATCTTGACAGATCTAAATTTAACTTAATTCAAATGGAGATTTTAATATGCCAAAGTCTTTATAATTTAAGTATATCTTATTAAAATATTACAAATCTAAACTTTCTCCATAAATGAAATGGTTAATTGAACATTAACAAATAATTAGAAAACAATGTATATATACATATTATCATCTTATTGTAAATTAATAATTATTAATGTAATAATTATATAATGTTATTATAATGTAATGTAAGAATAAAGATAAAATTTTTTCCAACAAATAGCAAATTCAAAACTTCATTCTGTAATATTTCTACTCAAAAATCAATATTGAGGTAAAATAATTTTTGTATAAAAATAAATATTCAAATTTTTCAATAACTACAGACAGACAACTATAATCTTTGGTGATTGAGTAATTAGCTAGCCAACTATTTTGGGGACCCAGGATGAAATCCAAGCAACTTGCTAAAAATTTTTCATGGGCGATCTGTCCTAAATGTGTTTTACTGTCCCTAAAAGCCTGGCTACTCCTACTGTGGACCTGGATGAGTCCATGAATGATAGGTACTTAAAGTATCTCTTAGTGCCCACAGGGAAGAAAGGAAAAGGGAACTAATCTTTATAAAATCACACAAAATAAAAGTTAAAATTTACAAAAATGTTAAAATATAAGTGAATTTATTAAAATATTTGCATTTTCATTATAAAAAAAAAATAAGCCCAGAAATGAATCTGAAAATGTTACATATATTTTTAAAATTTTGTTTTGAATAGAAATTATCATCATCATCTGTACTGTATTTCCGTTATCATTGTTATTTGTATTTACTAATAATTATTGAAAAGTTTTAAACTTTAATATTTTAATTTTTATACAAACATTATCTCTTTAAACAAGTATTTAACCAAACTAATAATACTAAACAACTATTTATTAATTTAATGCTAATTAATAAATAGTTTTTATAAGCATTTGGTTAAACATGTTTAAAAAATTAAAGGAATTTTATATAAATTGTTTTTTTTACCTTCCAATTTTATCAGCAAGAAAACTAGCACACAATGATCCTAATGCAGCACTTGCTAAGTAAACTGATACTATAAATGACCACAATAAATCTAATTCATTCCTGGACACAAAATGTCCTCGCTGCGAAAGAGATCGATTGCAAAACTGTTCTAGGACCTGTTAAAAAATAATTAAAACAAGAATTACTTTTTAATAATTTAACAACAACTAAAACAATTTTCATTTTAAATGTTTTTTCACCATTTATTTATAGATTTATTATTTAATATATAAATGAAGTTAAGGAATAAATATTTAAAAAAATTATTTTTACTTAGAAAAAATAGTACAGTAATACCTCGACTTACGCGAACCCGGTGTTACGCGCTTTTCAAATTTCGTCGATTCGTCTTTTGTTTGAGCGCCAAGCAACTCTCGATTACTCAATCCTTCCACACTATTGTTCAGCTTACATGTTCAGACGTGTCGCACGGAATCGACACATAGCCACAATTCATTTTGTGTTATTTATTTCAGTGTTTGTTATATCTACAGAGACGCGAGAGACTATGTGGTGATTTCTTCTAACTGTGAACGAATCAAAAGACGAGATAAGATTAACGAGAACATTTATTAGCTTACATACATCTGACTTGGGTTTTACACAAATTGCGAAATTATTAATTAATTAATTACAAATGCTTTATTGTAATAAGAAAAATCTTNAACTGTGAACGAATCAAAAGACGAGATAAGATTAACGAGAACATTTATTAGCTTACATACATCTGACTTGGGTTTTACACAAATTGCGAAATTATTAATTAATTAATTACAAATGCTTTATTGTAATAAGAAAAATCTTGTTACAGGGGGTTAACATTAAAGAATTACAAAAAGATAATTAATACTTATTTAAACATTTTTAAATATTTGGTTACATAACATTTGATAAACATAACATATTAGTCATTCAATTTACAACATCATATTTCAAAATTTTTAAAATATGAACAAAAAAGTTATGAATATTATACATTTTACATAACGGAATTTTTTCTAGATTAGTTCTGAAATTTTCTTCTTGACTTAAATCAAAAATTTCTTTTAATTTAAATTTACATTGCGCTTCTTCAATCTTTGGACACTCAATAAGAATATGGTAAATATTAAAAGATTCAGACTTGCACCAGTAGCATTTCTTGGAAAAATCAATATATACATTGCCAATCAGTAACGAATTGTAATTAAGACGTATCTGAATCAGCGTGCGCTTAATATTTAAATTAGTATTTGTTGTAATAATATTCGAACTTGATGGAAAATGTAACATATTTTGATACCAATAGTGATATGTCGAATTTAAAATGGAATCTTGATCCTTGATAACAGATTGAGATAAAGCAGAATTCATCATTAAGGAGTATGCGTGTTTACAGTTGTCTTCGGTTGAATTGAGTAATAAAGTAGAAATTCCATAAGATTGTATTATTTTAACGAATTTTTGATACCACGAAACATTTTTAGTTGATAGGCTTCCATTTTGGTTGCTTATTAATTGAAATAGAAATTTAATATTATCGTCATCAGTATTTAATATGCGAAGATAAAATTTGAATAAACGTTTCAAAAAAAATGGAAAAAGTTGGAATCTATTAGTCTCTGATCTAATTGCATAACCTGGAACCGTGCGTTCAATATGAAGTACTTTACGCAGAAAAATGATATGGAATTTTTCCAAATATTTATAATAGTCTAATGCCCAAACAGGACTGGCATAAAAAAATACTGGAGCAATAAATGAATGAAACATTTTCAAATGAATTTTTAGGTTGGAAATCCTTAGCTTAGATGATAAATAAATAACATTATTTATAAGTTGATTAATTTTACTAGTAAGATAATTTAAATGGTATTGAAATTGGCCGTTCCAGTTAAAGTATATTCCCAAATATTTTATTTGATTTACTACTTCAATCGGTTTATTATTTAGATAAAACTTTTTTTCTTGATTAGATATTTTCACATTATTTCTAAATATAAGAATTTTTGATTTGTCAATATTTATAGATAAAAAAATAGATTTTAAATAATCATTAAGTGCATTAATTTTACGTTGTAGAATAATCCGAGTTGGGGCTAACAAAACAAGATCGTCTGCATATAAAATATAATGATAAGTACGGCCATTTATAAGAATTCCTTCATTTTCATTTGTATATAAATCATCAATCTCTCTTATGTAAAAATTAAATAAATGAGGCGATAAAGGTTCTCCTTGGAGTATTCCACGATGTATTTTTAAATTCGGAAATATGTGATTATTATGAACTATATTAACTGTATATGATAAAAATAAATTTTCAATTGAATTGCAGAATTTAGATCCAGCTCCTTTCTTTTTTAATTTATATATCAAAGTAGGAACATGCACGGAGTCGAAAGCTTTAGATATATCGATGAATGCCGAGAATATTTTTCTACGTTTTTTGTGAAGGTATATTTGAATAATTAAAGTCAATAGGAATATTGACAACTCAGTACCTTTTGATTTGGAGAATGCATATTGGAATTTCGAATTTAAATCCTGCTCAGAGATCCAGTTTTGAAAACGAGTAGTGAGTATTGCGGTAAAACACTTCCTAATTACAGATAATAAAGCAATAGGGCGGTAATTGTTAGGTTCTGATCGGTTTCCCTTTTTATAAATCATAAGAATTTTCGCTAATTTCCAAGATTTTGGGTAAATGGAATCATTATAAAAATGGTTGTAGAGATCAAGAAGAACTTGCCTACCCGCTGGCGGAAGAAGTTTAATAAATTTAGTGGTAATTAAATCCATTCCAGGAGCTTTATTCGTTTTTAAATTCCGAATTGATAAATCCAGTTCTTCAGAAGATATTGGGATATCTAAAATTTCGTTATAGGAAATTTTTATATCAGGCATAGGAGAAACTGTAATTTCTGTAAATCTGTTAAAAAAGCTAGCCCATTTAGGAAAATCTATTTGAATTGACTGATCATAGTTCGAACATCGTAATTTCTTAATCGTGGTCCATAAAAGTTCATTAGTTTTATTTTCTAAGATTTTTTGTTGAATTTTTTTGTAATAATTTGATTTCTTTGTTTTTAATAAATTGAAATACGAATTTTTGGCTTGACGATATTGTCTGAATGCCGTTGATGTAGATAATTTTCTAAACTGGTGTAATGCTTTAGTTTTTTTCATTCTTAAATTCATACAATCCAAATCATACCATGGGCTTTTTGGTCCTAGTAATTTTGAATTTCTATTCTTTCGTGTTTTAACATATTCTTTTATTATATTTACAAACTTAGTATATTTTTCGATCTCTTCAGTTAATCTCTCATCCAATAAGCAGCTCATTCTATCACTGATTTGTTCTTGGAATCGTTGATATTGGTAGACAGTTATCTGATACTTCGGTATAACATAATCAGTATGATACGAATCTTTCAATCCAAAGTAAGAACTTACAGGAAAATGGTCCGATAAATCACTATTTAGTACTTGAATTTCCGAACATAAATCTACTAGAAATTCTGAACATATAAACAAATCAATTGTAGAGCTTCCCGAAGTGGCTACGCAAGTAAATTCAGAAGGATAGTCCTTTTCAATTCTACCATTAAGAATATATAGTTGGGCTTGAGCCGTTAATTTTAGAAGATCATGACCCATTTTGTTCTGCTTAACATCTTTGGATTTACGAATGTTTTGAATTTTTACGTTCGGACCTTTATATAGCAAATCCATGGACTGTGCAATACGAGCATTTAAATCTCCAGTTATAATAACATAAGGAAAAGTATTTCTCAAAGTTTCGTATATACGAAATACTTCAAATAGTATTTGCTGTTGCTCGGGAGGAACATATACCAGAATTATAACCAAAATTTTATTTTTCAAGTTGTTTATTTCTAGCTTATTAATCAATAAATGAACAATAATATAATTATTTCTTTTTTGGGTATATATAATTTCTCCCATTTTTTTTTTAATTATTAAACCTAGGCCACCGAAAGGACGACCCGGTCCTGTTGGTTTTTGAGCTAGTTGCGTAATTATGTGATATTTTTCATTGTATTTAATCAGTAATTCAGGAAATGAAGTCATCCAAGTTTCTGTTATAGCTAATATGTCAGAATTCTTTATCAAGTTCGCAAATTCACTGGTGAAAATTTTCCGCTTAAGACCTTGAGAGTTCCAATTAATTATTACAAAATGGGAGATTTTTTGATTGGACGTAATATCGTGTAAACTTTCATTATTATTATATACAGCAGGCAAAGGACTTAATAGTTGAGTCTTCACAGAACGTAAGTCTTGCATAGGAGTATTTAAATTGATCATATGTCATTGTGAAGTATTCTCGGAAGTAGAAAACGGGGTAAAAGAATCCAAGTATACCAGCCCCTCCAACACATAGCTATACGTCAAAGAATAATTGCCCAACAGTATAGTGTCACCTCGGAGTTTTGGATATTTACCTGCTTTCCTTAACTCGCTTAAAAAAGGAATTAATTGTTTACGTCTT